TAACCCTTCGTTTTCGAAAAAGGTGGGTGTTGCATTGAAATAGAGAAACACTGTATGTTGTAACAGTAATTACATATACAATTTCTATTATATTCAAAATCACCATATTGTACCAAGTTCAAATTCAATAATAATAATAATATATTGAGTTAATATTACATGCGTATTAAATTATGTATTAGCTCGGTAAAACGTATTTATAATGCAATTTGATCTACAACAGTGTACTGAGATATTCATATATTGTAATAATATATATTTTTCCTAAATGACCCATGGTGGTTGACGGCCATTTAATAATAATAATAACATATATTTTATTAATTTTATTGATTAAATCACATCAACCTACGTTCAATTTTTGAGCTATAAAAATAATAAACAATAATTTTTTATGCATAATCTGGTACATCCAATCATTGTGTTTGCAGATTCATCAAGTTGATTAGATTTAATAAAAAACTGCAAAAATCTTTTGAAAGTCGGTTTATAAAAACGTTATGTATTGCAAATTTGGTTATTGATTTTATGTAACAACATTTCTGTGGTCAGACTTAAGCCAACTGGAATTTTCTTTTGAATAGTTTAAGAAATAAAATTTATGAAAATTTGACCCTTATAACTATGTAGGTGATTATCCTAACCTCGGGTCTCTCTCAAGAGTTAAAATCATAGAGCTGTTGAATGGTTGACATACAGTATGCTAAACACGTTGGGATGAAGGGATTCAGTTTAGTCCAAAAATCTAATTTTTAATTTGTATGCACCTTTTCGTTAAATAGCACAATCATATAAAACAGCTAATGATCTAGACGACGAAACCTATTACTTTTCTGTGTAAGTTTTTATTGTTTTTTTCCCTTGCAATTAATGCACGTATATGCAGAGTTTTACGTCTAGTTTTGAAATTCCAATCATTTGTGAAAATTTAAAATAATCTCCGACGACAGTCGGATATAACTTCATGTTGTATATTCTTTTTACAAATATATTTCATTGATGTGCGTAAATTTGTAAAATAAAGTATTTCTTTCTATCTATAGATTATCCTATGTGCATTTAGTGTTATTATGTTAAACTTTAGTTCGCTCATCTGTCCAACATTCAAACTGTAGTCGAAAGAAAATAATATCTTCGTCAAAACTTCCCACTTTAGTTTTACTATCTAAATCTTGTTGTAACCATTTGATTGTATTATTTACGGTTTTTTACTAACAGGAGTGGGACGATAAAAAAGAAGTCGGCAGCCGGCCTAGATGCCATGAAACGTGCACACCTATGATAGCACAAATTCGGAACAAGTCAACTTTCCACTCGACCATATAACTCGGGGCGGGATAAAAATATATTTTTTTGATACCCTACTTTACAGCATTAGGAGGTGGGGCTCGTGGTAATGGCGAGAAGACGTCGTGATAGGGATTACAAAATCGCCCATCAATAACCGCCGAGGCATTACCCAGGAGACATTTTTGTAGCCTCGCCAACCAACGTCTTTTATACTCGTTTTTCCGGATTTCACATCCCAATACTAAACCATGGTGCATGATAACAAGAAAACCATTATTCCAACGGAATTAATGGGTTTTTCGTCATTTGTACTGAAGAAATTTTAGAGGAGTTAATATATAGTTTTGAAATTATTACAGTTAATGAAATAAATGCAATCTTTCCACTAAAACGTTTCCATGGTCGTGATAAAGTCGCATGAGGATGTAGACAGAAGAGAACTACCGAATTTAGCCAAAAAAGCAAAGGAGTCTGCAGTAAGCTGGAATGTTGCTCTGCAGGGGTCCGTCAATCAAAAACCTTTTACTCATAGTAAACCAGGAGCCATGGCATTGGAAGTATTACTTCGATAGGGTCCAGACAATTACTAAACAAAATTGGATTACGCGAGAAATATTTAAGCCGACTTGGGAAGAAGTATTCATCTTTATTCCAAAAATGTAGATTATACGACGATCTGAAGCACATAAAAAGCGCACATAGAAGAAAGTAGATCCATCCAGTTGGGACTGAAAAACGACTACACCGTTGAGGCACTTGGTATAATATATATTGACTTGAAAACACACTTGAAAAAATCCATATATGCATTTAGCAGTCATAATCGACCTATTATTAATTAGATATACTTTTAATCTAAGGCCTTGGTTGAGATAAAAAAAGCCAGTGTAACGAGAGGGATTTGAACCCACTACCTTTGGCTGAATACGCCACTGCTCTTACTATTTGAGCTAACGTGATTTCGATCCTCCCAGACCCCAACTTCTCATCTCAACATACACCCTTAAGAATTTTTCCCACTTTTCGCACATATATTCAAATGTCATGTAATTTTGTCATTTCAACCAAAATAATAATAATAATAATAATGTAGAACAATGTGCAATAACATACAACAATATACAAACGTGAACAAAAATCCAAAGGAAAGGCAAGAAAGAAAAATAAAAACTGCAAATAATATCACTTAAATACAAAAAATACGCCAATAACTTTAAAATATTCTGAAAAAATAAATAAATAAAACAAACTAAAACTCTGTCATAATTGAAAAGGAATAATAAGATAATCACGCAAACGGATGATGTCAACAAATCACAATTGTTTGACAGGCAATAAAATGATGAATATGAGCGGACCAGGATGATGGGAAACGAACAAATAGCAATCCCTCAACCCGCAGGCCTTAAAAAATTATAATAATAACAGAAATAAGCAAAATTTTTTCCAGAGCATTAACCAATAATCTTCCTAATACGTCTTACAATAAATAAAATATGAAAATGGTCAATATTACGTTCCAAGACTTCTCCATTCTGTCTTCTTGAATTAAGTTTAACAATGCGATTAGAGGACGATAATAAATAAAAACTTTCTGAGCGTCTAAAATTAATAAAATTTTCTTATGACAATTCACCACTTCGTGTGCTCAGTATATCTCCAGTCGGTCACGTAACGGTTTTTACGCGCTGACAGTTACGTTAGCACTTTTAAAATTTTTTCTTGTGTTTTATTTTTTGTTTTTAATTATTTTACATAAAATAATGTAAATTGTGTGTTGCGACTTAATTAGTTGAACCTTGCTTGAAATATTCATGAAAAAAGTTGAAAATAAGTTTTATTTTATTAGGGTCAGAATACTTGTGTTACACATTTATTGATTTAAATTTTCTTTCCCAAACTGGCATTCGTAAAACACCTTAAAATGATAAAAAATAATACAATTTTTTTTCATAAACGCTAACATTTTTTGATCCAAGTCATATTTTGTAGCCTAAAACTTGAAAACATAACATAAAAAATGGGCTCCCGATGTTATATCTAGTTTGTATAATCATAGTATTTTATCCCAGAAAGCCTAGCAGTTTTATTTTTTCAGAAACTATACAGAAATAAGAACAACTCTTCCTTCACTAGTTGTTTGAGCTGTATGTATTGGTTTTTTGGCATAATAATAATTTAATAACAACAGTAATTACTCGGCAATAAAAGACCATTTTTACTTAGTGTTTATTGCACTAGCCGAAAACACGGACGTCATCGCGTTAATATTTTACTCGTTAACCTGACACTCATTCTTCTAATTTGAAGTTGGCGTATCAAACGATTTTTTTTAACAGGCTGAACTTAATTTCTCAAAACGGTTTTCATGTTTTCCAAACCTCGAAAAAACGATTGCAATTGTCAATTTTCACAAATTTATTAATGTTCTAAAGCGTCTATTGCATACTAAGTGTAAAAATTAAAGTATAATTGTAGTTTTATAAACAATTTGTTTTGCGAAGACTTTCATTTTCAAGTAAGGTGAGTGAGCACAAAGAAACGTGATTAATAAAATGTATCAATCAATGTATGTGCAAATTTGTTTTCTACATTTTTTTAATTACTATTCATCCAAAGGATCTATTAATTTCATTTAATTATCTTGAATAAATTGTTTTTGAATGTTAATGTGTGAAATTGTTAAAAGAAATCACACGTGGATTTCCCGAATTTGTAATCTCGAACTGAAAAAAACTTTTATTTTTTTCAAATAACCATATTACAAACAACAACCCTCATTGATTTAAAGTTATTGATTTTATTTCACTACTTTCGTGGTCCGCTTGACCAATTAATACATGACAATTAATTAAGGTTTTTAGTTGAGATGAAAAAAAGTTAATGGCACGAGAGGGATTCGAACTCACGACCCTAGATACGAGAGCAGTGGCGTCCCTCTCGTGCCATTAACTTTTTTTCATCTCAACTAAAAACCTTAATTAATTGTTATTGACTTTGTAATACTGAAAAAAGGTTTGATCCTTGGAAATAAAATATCAGCCTGTCTACTGTTGGAATAAATGCAGCAAACTCACGCGTAAAAGAATGTTTAACGTAAGAATTCAACCAAAATTTAATTTTTTCACAGATGGAATGTTTCTAAACATATTTCAGTGATCGGTTTAACACGAATGTATCAATTTATGGCTTGTATTTTTTTAAACCTCAAATCCTCCCACACCGATATTAAAGCAGCGTCACCTGTGGCCGTTTAGGTTTGGCAGGGCGCATTGATTTTTTTTTTCTCTCTCGGGATTCGTTTCCCTAGGTTTTACTTCGAAAAACTCGTAAAATTAAGTGAACCCAACTCGGCGAGCGCTTACTGCAAATGAGCTGCATTAAAGCTTTAATGCAGCATTGCAGTGATTGCCATTTTGTTGACAATTGTACATTACTTGCAATCATTCGCTTGATCGCCCAAACTCTATTCTTCAGTTTATACAATGGATTAAATTGATTTTACAAATCCGATTGAGTCAATTATATGTTTCATATGAACTAAGTAATCAATTTCTTGCTAAACTGAATTGTAGTAACAAAGAATAAAATCACAATTCATACAGTCAGTGCATGATTGAATGAAATTCAATGAAAGTATGTGAGTAAAAAATCACAAATTGTTACAGAGCAATATTAATAAATTATTATTTGTATTTGTAATTACTTACAATATGCCACATAAGTTGGGGTGAAGGTGAAACGTAAACGAAGCGGCGAAATCCGGGATGACCCATTTTCCAGACCCAGACCACTTTCCGAGCCACTGACGCTAATGACAAGAAACACTTTGATAAAAGAAACAGAACGTTTGACCGAATCGACAGAGAAGTTGCTAAGTATCCCAGGCACGATTAATTCTTACGGTAACCTGAGTCAGATAAGATGGATAACTGACTCAGAACAGGCCATTACCTGTGCTCACCTGATCACACTATCCTACCAAATAGTGTTACGGTTCTATTTAAAAAAATAATTTTAAAAAAAGTATATTTAAAATGTCGAAATCGATCTTCTCGATCTCTTGTTTGGTTTTTACATAAAATTTCTTTTTCATGTGAAGAAATGTGTAAGAAATTGTCAACCTTTTCTTTTTTATGTGAGGGAAATTGTGTGAAAATGATAACCTTTTTTTTAAGCAAGAGATTGTGCGAGAAAATGACCACCAGACATGAACTTTGGTCTGTCCTCATTAACAAGAGAATATCCAATTGCCTCATTAAATAATTCTCAGTGTTTCAACTTAGTAAACTTTTTTATGGAAGCCTGATGTTACAGGAAAGAATTCATTTCATATGTTAATTATTAAAGATGTTTTTATGTTACTTAATACTATATTTAACAGGTCTTTTTTTCGTACAGATTGCTAATGAAAAGCCCTGGTCAAATTGTTAGAATATAGTGTAAATAAGGTTAATAATAATAAGTTTCTTGTGCTTGTTTATTTAAAAATTTTTTTTTTTTTAACTTTTTGCCCGTTTTTCCGGCAGACGGTTGTCAACCATAGCTGTAGTGTGCTTTTATTTATTTTTATAACTTAACTTTTTTATAACTAATTTATCATTGAATAAAGTATATTTTCGTTTCATTTCATTTCTTATGTGCGGGAATGCACAAGAAATGTTGAAAAATGTATGAGACAATATGAACCGTTCTTACGTGAAGGATTATGTTGAAATTGGAACCTTTTTTAGGTGACAAAACGTGTACAAAAGTTAACTTTTGTAATATGACAGAGATTGTGCGAAGATGAGAACCCTTGTATATGAGAGATTGTGTGAGAAGTTGAGAATCATTCTTATGTATGGGAATATATAAGACAAATTTAACCTTTTTTATAGGTGAGAAAATATGAACCTTTCTTATGTGGGAATTATGTGTAATGGTAACGTGTTTTATGCGATGATGTGTGAAAAAAATTAACTTTTCTTATGGGACGGAAATAGGGAGAAAATGAGAGCAAATTTTTTGTAAAGGAAATGGTGAAAATTTTTTCATATGTTTGAGCGTGTGACAAATGTGTGTACTATCCTTACGTTAGGGAATGTGTGATTGAAATAGGAACTTGTCTTATAAGGCGAGGGAAAATGTAAAACTTTTTTATGTGATAAAACGTGAGTACTTTTCTTATGTGAATGGATGTGTTATAAAATGCAGACCGTTCTTATGTAAGGGAATATGTGATAAAATGATAACCATTCTTGTATGAGGTACCGTGTGAGAAAATGTGAGGCAATGTGAGATAAAATGGAAACTTTTCTTGTAATACGAGGGAAAATGAGAACTTTGCTATGTAATATAGCATTAACCTTTCTTATGTGATAGAAAATGTGGAAAAATGTTTTCTATCTTATGTTAAGAAATTTGTAGGAAAATTAGAACCTTTTTAAGTGATATAACATCTGAAAAATGTGATCCTTTCTATTTTGTAGATACGAAAAACCGAACAAGGCACGTTAAAATATTTTTAATCAAATTATTATAAAACTATTGTATATCATTAGTGTTTGTGAAATGATAATGCAATATCTTGTTTAATAGGATTTTTATGTTAGAAAGTTGTGCATTCAAGAGAACACTTATCCTTGGCTTTGAAAGTGATATTATCATACACAGTTTTCGCCGAATTAACATATGTACTTTACGGTGGAAAGGGGAAGTTCGAAAAATATTTGCTTTGTGGATAACCCCGGGGATCCGGAAAAGGGTCGGTTAAAGCGGATTCAAATTTCATTCGACACGACATTTTACAACTTTTCAAGGAGACAATCTAGGTCCATAAAAGGGACGAAAAAAGAGACGAGGGTAGGAAATGTTCCTCCCCCTCGGGATAAGATGTCCGACGGACGAGGAAGATTGTCCTGGGCATGTAGAAAAATTACAACCCTAACTCATCCCCCCACACAAGCCTTATATCTAGAATCAGAGCCGCACTTATTCCACTGCCTTAATTGTACTTAATTCATGCTGACTGCAATTTCTGCCAAATCCAAAGGCAATTTGCACTTGTAACGAATACATTCACGTAGGGGCTAATTAAAACCGGTCAAAACCAGGGGTAACAATTGTCATTAATTATGTCAATCGTTTAATTTGTTTCATGATTAAAAACAGTAACAGTTTATTTTTTTTCTTTTAAATCAGTTTTTTCCTTGCTATATTTTCCGCCGCATAAAGTCCAATTTATGCTACTTTACGTACCACATTTTGTATATTTCAGACGATTATGCTCAAGGCAGAGAATATTTATGTTCGATTCTGTTTGCACGTGTTTGTACATACGTGAACATTTGTCTCCATATCTCTATAAATCAGTTGATATATTTATGACAACGTTCAGTGGAAATCAGAATAGGAATTCATGAAATGTTAAAATTCAAGTACCCTACATTACACCAATTTTTTGTGGTTTTGGATTAGTTACATGGGTAGGACTTTATCGATTCGATGAAGAGAAAAGCGAACACTGGAGAAACGCTAATGCTCATTACGAGCTTTTATTACCGCGGGAAATAACAATATCGTTCAATCTAAGGGCCCCCAGAAGGGCGAAAGGGAGCAATCCAGCAGTTTAATGCTGTGATCCTTGCTACACGGCGGCCCGTCCCATACTTTTCCATCCTGTATCACTTTATAACACCCTCAACATCCAAGGGCCGAGGATCTCCAACACGTATGAGAACATAAAAGATTCCCCGCCCGAAGAGAATGGGCTATCATGGCCCCTGGGGAAAATACGACCTATTAAAAACCTTGGGGTATAACGCCCTTTTTCCATTATCATAACTTGAGACTTGGATATCAATTAATGTTTTACTTTTATCTTGTTACCAACCTAGTACAATTCAATCGTTCTTTTTCAAACATTTATATGTCAAAAACAGATGAACACCTGACAGAGGAACGTCTTAATTTATAATGTAACTGCTTTGAGCACACTGTATGAATTAAGTAACATTGATATGGTAGTTATATTAAATTAAATTTATGATATACAAACTGAGGGAATGAAGGTAGTTTTATTATTTTAGGTTCAAATGTTCATATTACATATATACGGGGAATTCATTTTAGATAGCCTGGCTGAATTTCTTATCCTCGTTTGAAATTTTGACTTTTTATGCAGAAAAGTTATACAGGGAACATCAAACCCATTCAACTTCAAAATTTCTAATACGAAGCTATACATCCTGATACATTATTTTCAAAGGATTTTTACGCTAAAAACAATGGTGCATTCGGATTTTAAATTGGTCAAAAAATGACAAAGTTATGTCAAAATGTTTGAAAAATAAAACAGTCATTTGGTTTGCTATTTATTAATCACATTTCATGATTGGACTGCCTCCCAGCTTTTTTTAACCACTCTTCACAGGTGCCGCAGTTCTTCAACTAAGGGTGCTGTGTTGTGACTGGCGTAGAGTTGTTTAAATGGCCCCACAGAAAATAGAAAAGTGGAGTTAAATCGGGTAACCGAGTAGGCCAGCAGATCGGGCCATCATGTCATATCCTCCTGGAAACAATTGAGTGCGGCGCATCCATCAAGCTAGAGAATCATTCTTTGTCGTTGTTGTAGAGGAACATCATTTAATAATGTTGGTAAAACCTCCCTCAAAAATGTGTGGTGATTATTGGTGATTTTGCATTGTATAAATTCACTTTTTCACATCCTTAAAGTATTTGTTAAATGTAAACAATGTTTGTAAATCCTAGGCCCTGAAGATGATCTCAATAAAGATCGAAACGTTGGCACGATAAAGAAAATGTTTTTCTGAAACCTACATCACACCAGATCGCATCTCACGATTTCTGAATAATTAACTCCCTCAAAAAGTTGAGGAGTTGAGCATGATTTAAATTATTTTCGAAGAAATAAGGGCCAATTAATGTATTTCCGAGAAGTCCATACCAAACCTTGTTAATGGGAGATACCTTACTGATAAGATGATAAGAGTACAAAATTCTTGGCTTTTTCTCTATCCACGTTCGAAAATTCTAACGGCTTAGTATGCCATTAGAGGTGAACCTGGATTCACCTGTACATAGGATATCCCGTGATTTTTAATATATATATATATATATATATATATTTTACCTCCATGCCCCACCAAAAAATCAGTGATGTTGTGTCACTAGTGGCATTTATCTCTAGTTTTTACATGATGATAATAAGTTGTTTTTTCTTCTTGGTAAATGTTTTTGGACAAATAATGAAGCGTTATTTATTATCCTGTGCACAGACCAGACAACCAATCTATAGTTAACTATTTGGCAGCCGATTGTGCCAGTACCTGTTTCGCATCGCTTACTAACAATAAAGCAACGTCAAAATGCTGATAGTAAGGTCGGAGGTTAGATGTAGTTAAGGTAAACATACAGTTAGTGTTTAGATAATCTAGGTTTGGACAGTTTAGTTAGGTATGGTTGTGTTAAGTACAGATATCTTAAGGCAAGTTAATAGTGGTTATGACAGGTAAGGTAAAATTATGGTTAGGTTATGTTATGAGTAATTATAGGGGTTAACTTATGTCACTCTAAGGTTATTAGTTGTTAGGTCAGGTAACGTTGTAAGGTTATGGTTAATCCGCAGATATGGTAGAATCGTGCAGAATTTATTTAAAAAAGATACCGGTCGTATCAAATTGTACTAAAAGATCAAACGCTTCAATTTAAAACAAAAAGTGAAAATGTTCACGCTGGGTACAACAAACTGATAAAAAATTAACTTAGATAATTTATTCTATTTTCATATCTACCATCAAGATATCTTCCAACAAGGCGACTTGAACTAAGAAAAGTAATCACATCTTGATGTGATCAAATCAAAGTTTAGCTACACCAGATTTTAAACAGTTTTAAAAAGGTTTTCTCCAATGGTTGAGTATATATATATATATATATATATATTCGCAGGGATTATA